TATGGGAACGGTTTTCTATTCAAACCTTAGGCGAATATAGCGATTTGTACCTGAAGACTGATGTTTTTTATTGGCTGATATTTTCGAAAATTTCCGCGATAGTTGTATCAAAAGTTACGGTCTAGATCCCGCGCATTATTACACATTGCCAGGTTTCACGTGGGACGCGATGTTAAAACATACAAAAATTAATTTTGAATTACTCACAGATATTGATATGGTAATGTTTATCGAACGCGGTATACGTGGCGGTCTGAGTCAGTGTTCCGGTAGATACGCAAAAGCCAATAACCAATACATGCAATCTTACGATCCATCGAAGCCATCCTCATACCTCATGTACTTTGATATAAATAATTTGTATGGCTGGGCAATGTGTCAACCGTTACCATACGCTGAATTTAAGTGGGTTGATGATACGTCGAATTTTGATGTATCATCAATCCCGCTATTCGCTCACAGGTTATATTCTCGAGGTTGATTTGGAGTATCTCCAACACTTGCATGATGCACACGTGATCTACCGTTCTGTCCGACGCGAACGAAGCCCCGAACAAACGGCAAGAAAAACTCCTTGCGACTTTATATAATAAGCAGTGTTATGTTATTCATTATCGTAATCTGCAGCAGTGCATACGCCATGGTCTTCGTATCGAAAAGATTCATCGCATACTCCAATTCGCAAAACTTCATGGCTACGCAACTACATAGAATTAAATACGCAGTTTCGAACGCATGCAACAAACGATTTTGAGAAAAATTTATACAAATTATGAACAACGCGGTATTCGGCAAAACAATGGAAAATGTTCGCAATCATGTCGATGTAAAACTTTTGACAAAATGGGATGGACGATACGGTGCAGAGGCAATGGTCGCAATGCCCAATTTTCATAGCAGGAGCATCTTTTCAGAAAATTTGATTGCAGTTGAATTGCGAAAACTCGAAGTGAAGTTCAACAAGCCGATCTATGTGGGTATGTGTATTCTCGACATATCTAAGACCTGCTTGTATGAATTTCACCATGAGTACATGTCACCTCTATATCGTGAGAAATGTAAAGTACTGTATACGGACACAGATAGTTAATTTACCATGTAATGTCCGACGATGTATATGAGTTAATGAAACGTGACATTGCTAGGTTTGATACGAGCGATTATCCTCAAAATAACATATACGGTATACCGCTTAAGAACAAAAAAGTTCCAGGGCTTATGAAAGACGAAAATAACGGAGCTATAATGACAGAATTCGTCGGGCTCAGAGCAAAAATGTATGCGCTGAAAGTAGAAGGTAAAAAGGATACTAAAAGGGCGAAGGATGTTAAGAGGAATATTATAGCACGAACGATCAATTTTGACGATTACACGCATTGTTTGAGAGAGGAAATTGAAACGAGTCGGCGTCAATCGTACATAAGATCCAAGTTGCATGAGGTATACACGGTATTCGAAACGAAAACTGCTCTCAGTCCATACGATGATAAGCGATTTATTATGTCTGATTCGATAAATACATTACCATGGGACATTATAGTATACTATTATAACGTTTATTTGTTTTTATTCTATTTTACAATTAAATATGTCATCAAATGTTCTAATAAAACTGTATTTATTTTTTTACAATACATTATCCTTTTGTATCCATGAATTATGCGAATTGTCGAATCCCAACCATTTTACATATACTTTGTCGTCTTGCCTGCGCAATACCTTTTCTACTAAATATACATCTGGATTGGTGACACAATGTAGTTCGTATTCGTAGAAACCCCCGGCGATAGGTTTCCCGCGCGAGTCTGCAAGTAGGTAAGTTGCAGGATTAGTTGTCTGCACTTTGACGATTTTAAACACTTCAGTTGTCCAATTCGGTGTATAGCCTTTTTCAAAGATAGTTTTGAATTTGCTGACGCGTACCAGATCACCCACTTTGAATTTCGCAGGCGCTGCAATCTTTACGTTACTATAGACTATGTTTAAGAGCTTATTAGCAATCGTAGGAGTCACATCGATAGAACGCATGCCGATAGTTCGATGTTTTCGCGTGTTGTATTCAACGATGAGGCGCGGTAACGAGTCGATCCATTTGTAAGTTCCGTTGAACGTAAACATTTTCCATATGTTGTTCTTTAACGTGCGGTTGAATCGCTCCACAATAGATGCCTTCATTACTGAATGAGTCGAATAATGATTGTCACCGTGTTTCTTCACATGTCTCTGCAACTCTGTATTGTAAAACTCCTTTCCCTGATCAGTTTGCAAGTTCTTCGGACATCTTCCATCCGTTCGAATTATCTTTGCGAATGCCTCGGCTATCTCCTTTCCGCTTTTGCTCTTTAACGGCACGGCCCATGCGTGCTTGCTCAGTACATCGATAATGGTGAGTATGTAGTGGCCTCCATTGAATTGCAAGTAAGGACGCATTTCCACCACATCGGCCTGCCAAAGATCATCGTATCCACGCACTATGACGCGTCTGCGAGGAAAATTTCGTCTCGCTGGAGCGTGTAATTCTTTCACTAATTGTTCTTTTTCGGAATGTTTCTTCTCATTATTTTTCCCCGTTACTCGCCGAGTCGTTTTTCCATCATGCGTGAAGCTTTGTCACTTTACACCGGCAGAAATAGCTGAAATAGTACCGATGAGTTGCTTCTCTGAACTTTTCTTCTTTTTGTTAAATTTTGACGATTGCTTCACCATTGCAGCTCGTGATAATCCGTCTCTTGCTTATGTCGATACTATATGTCGATTCAATTGCAATATTCTACTTTTATATTTTCGACGATTTCTTTATCTCTGAATCTGTCCAGTCTAAAATTCGTTCTGTGTTCTCATGAATGCTATTTATGCTCAGTATGTTTTTCTTCTGGTAGTCTTCCAGCCAATCCTTCAATTTTTTAACATCTCATCTATTCTCAATATATACTGCTTCGTCTCAACGTTACTCTCATGCAGTAGAAGCTTTACAGAATTTATATTCTCATTTATATACTGCTTCTTCTCAACGTTACTCTCATGCAGCAGAAGTTTTACAGACTTTATACTCTCATCCACATAATTTTTGTGCGCAACATCATTGAAGACTCTCGGCCGCGTTACATGATGTATCGCGTGTCTTGTTGCGTCAAAACCTTTGCCATCAGCGGTTAGACAAAGGGCATTTTCATGTACGTATCGTTTGGTTGCAACATCATTCAAATGATTTCTCATACCTGCAACACATTCTTCCACGTATTGTTTGGTTGCAACGTCACTGTTGGCTTCAGGCTGCGTTACATGTTTTATCTTGCGCAATTTTGCATCAAAAACTTTGGCCGCGTTTAAACAAAGGGCATTTTCATGTATGTAATTTTCAACATGTTCATTCCATTGATGCGCTCGATCAGATTTCGCACCATTGTTTTCTCGCGACACTCCAAACTTATTCATCGACATTTCGGAACAAGTTGTACCGACTGACTGACTTGTGTCAATGCCACGCTGCTTAATTTATAATGAGACCAGCTTCACGGAGTTCTTCGATAATCGATAAAATTTCGTGCTCGTGCGAATTGCTGCCAGCTTGGCGCGAAGCGTCAAGCAATCGCAGACGATCCACCAGCTCGTTGGGATCATCCCAATGCACGTAATCGATATTGTTGTCATTTAAGGTCATCATAGCTTGCGCTGCATATAAACCTTTTCCTCCTACTTTATTGCTCGACGCATCTGATACTAGGGGTGCGATTATATGTTTATATTTATGTCCCTTGTTACCGAGTATAGGATTTTGCGGGAGGTACCCGCGTCTGTGAGTATTTGTTGCCAATAGTATATTTTTGTATTTTTGCATATCAGCTTCGGTGTACACAGAATCGTCGGGGATTCTTTTGAATATTAGCTCGTAAAGACCGAGTGTTCCAATGTATCCTGTTTCGCCTATGATTATATTATCGTCTCTGCCCACATCGATACGTTTATCACCGAGCATCACTCCATCGTTACTAAGACGTACGCCGTAAACATAATCTATAGTGTTATCTTTTCCACTGCTTAGCACAGCTCCCATATATCAGGTGTAGTAAAAAGAAATCCATTATTTTTCCAATAGATGGCTTTAGTTATCTGTATCTCGCGTTGTATAAGTCCAATCGGGTTCTACTAGATGGCGTTAGAAAGATGAGATTTCGTACTAAAAAAACTTTTCTGACAGTTTTGTGATTAGTTGACTCAGTTTTGTTTGAGCGCGCTTCAAAGATGGATACTAGCAAAGAGAAAATACGCTATATTTTACAGTTTTTCTTCGATAAAGGCGAAAACACAAGCCAGGCAGCTGAAAATGTGAATAGTGTTTATGGTCCTGATACTGTAATAGCCAATCACGCACAATTTTGGTTTCATCGATTCCGTTCCGGTAATTTCGATGTCAAAGATGCATCACGTACTGGAAGGCCAATTGTCGAAAATATCGATAAAATCATGGACATTGTCGAGTCCGAACGTCACGTAAGCACTGTTTCGATTGCCCAAGAGCTAAAGATTGCACAAAAAACCGTTTGGAACCATTTGAATAAGGCTGGATACAAAAAGAAGCTCGATGTATGGGTGCCACACGAGTTAACAAAAAAGAACCTCATGGACCGAATTTCCATCTGCGAATCGCTGCTGAATCGCAACAAAATCGACCCATTTCTGAAGCGGTTGGTCACTGGTGATGAAAAGTAGATCACTTACGACAACGTCAAGCGAAAACGGTCGTGGTCGAATCGCGATGAGACGGCGAAAACGGTGGCCAAGCCAGGATTGACGGCCAGGAAGGTTTTGCTGTGTGTTTGGTGGGATTGGCAGGGAATTATCTACTATGAGCTGCTCCCCTACGGCAAAACTCTTAACTCGAAACTGTACTGTCAACAATTGGACCGTCTGAAGGAAGCAACCGTCCAGAAGCGGCCAGCTTTGGCCAATAGGAGAGGAATTGTGTTCCATCAGGACAATGCCAGGCCACACACATCGATAGTGACTCGCCAGAAGCTCCGGGAGCTTGGTTGGGAGGTTCTTATGCATCCACCTTATAGTCCGGACCTGGCACCAAGTGATTACCATCTGTTCCTGTCCATGGCGAACAATTTTACTGGTGAAAAATTCGCTTCAAGAGGGGCTTGTGAAAATCGACTGTCTCAATTTTTTGCCAATAGGGACGAGGGCTTCTATGAGAGAGGCATAATGAAATTACCTTCAAAATGGCAACAAGTTATCGAACAAAACGGCGCATATTTGACCTAAATCGGATCATTCTAACTATGGTAATTAAAGCCTTCAATTTCATGCAAAAATAATGGATTTCTTTTTACTACACCTAATATTTTTGACCCAACGGACCAAAATGATCATGTAAAATTTGTTGTCCTTTGTACGTTCGCAACTGACGTCTAACGGATGTCACTACCGGTTTATCGGGGATTTCAGAAACATTCTCATCATCATCATCATCATCAGTGAGTAGATTGTCGATCGGTGAAGGTTCATGCGACATTCCATGTAGTTCCTCATGTTGTAGAGCTTCCATCGATGTAGGAACTATCAGAGGATCGTTTAATAGTTTCCGTTTCGGTGTAGTCAATGCGACTGGTGAAAGTTTTGCCTTACGCTTTATCTTTTTTTCGGGTTTTAATATTACACTCTTTGTTTCTTCGCTTGTACTCATTGATAGTGGCTCAGTTTTAACATCAACGTTACTTTCCACATTAGCGCTGCTTCCCGCGATTTGCTTGAGAGGTTCAATAATAGGTTTAAAGTGTCTCTCCAATGCAGCATTTTCCACCATTCTACCGGTTTTCAAAGCGCGATACTTCTTGCGGATCGACTCGCTCGTTTTCGCAATCTCTTCCGCTACCTTTTCACGATCCATGATTTTCACGCTACTATTCATCATTGATATATTTGTCTCGTGGACGTTGAAGATGTTACCATGTTGAGATTAAAATGACGATTGTATATCTCACAGCACAGCAAAGTCGTTAAATCCTTTTCTGTATCGTCCGTCGGTCATTGAGCTATTCTTATCAATCACTGTGAAACTATATTTATCCTCCCAACATTTGCAACACAATGTACTGAAATCCTCATATGACATGTCAGTGTTCACATGATCGTTGTACACATGTTTCAAGTTGGTACCATCCTGTTTAAAGAGAATCAGAAGATTTGCATTGTCCCGTATAAGATGCTTGGGTATTTTTGCGTACGTCTGACAGAGATAGAAACAGTCAACGCTCGAATGACGACCCATTGCAAAGTATTCTTTTAACGTATCTTGTTTGTCACATGCAACGTCATCAAAGATAAAAATGGAATTTTTAGGCGCTTCGGTCGTTGGAATCACATCGCTGTTATTGGAGAATGTAAAGTATCCAATTTCATCTATCGATTTCAGCAGATTTTCCAAGTAGCGATATTTAGGTTGTTGCAACGATTTCGAGTACACGTACAAGTTCTCGAAACGTAGACCGTGCGGACTTTCTAACAAGCTGATGAGAATGTTTGTCTTGCCGCAATTCGAGGGACCGCATATGATGCCGCGTATGTTGTTCGGAAGCATGTTTCCATGCCTGCGCGCCTCTTGCTCAAGCATTGATTCCGTTCTATTGCGAAATTTGTCACGCATATCGATGTTGGTTGCTTCACGAACCGCATGTTTCCCCGTGAGTCGCAAAATAATTTAAATGTGACGCTGATTTAACTATATATAAGCGCGTCAATCTTGGAAACACTCAGTTTAGAAAATGTTCCTCCTGTTGACAGATACCCATGATATTCGAGAGCTAACTTCCGAACAACTGAAATATATACCGAAGATTGTTCTATTACGCGAATTTGCAAAGTATATTGACGATTTGCAGGATAGACTCCCGGAATATTTAAGAGTCGATCCAGAGGCTCAGCAGTATCGTCGATGTTTGGAACATTACAATCGTTCGTGGCAGCAAACCCATATCGACGGTCCAGCACCGCTGATCAGGGACTGTAGTGAATGTCGTCAACAAAAGTCAAAGTCGGCAGTGATCTATTGAATCGCGCGATAAATGCGCTTCCTATCGAACTACACATTCCCGGATATCAATTTTGTGGTCCTAGAACTCGCTTGATAAAACGATTGGCCAGAGGTGACCAAGGCATTAATTCATTGGACGCGGCGTGTCGTGAGCACGATATAGCCTATTCACGTAGCAACAATCTCACCGATCGGCAAGCGGCGGATGAGATTCTCTGCGAAAGCGCGGAAACGCATAACTTCGAAAGAATCAATTCTAGGCGAGAAAGCTGCTGCTGCAGTCGTTTGGGCTGCTATGAAAGCCAAAACGAAAATCGGCATGAGCATGGGCACGAAGAAAAAGAAGTCGTCCAAAAAAGAAATCCGAAAACGAACACTTCCAGTAGCAAAACGGGGTGGTATTTTACCAGTTCTACCATTACTGGGAGTTCTCGGTTGACTAGTCGGTGGAGCGGCGGGTGTCGCAAAAACGGTGAATGAT